GGCTAATTGTGGAGGGCAGCATAACTATTGATCAAAGCCAAGGCATTGCTGGTGAGATGAGCAACATTCACAATCCGTTCCCTCACGGCTGTCTTCACGTTTCCGTTCATGACTTTTCCGGCGAACCCCGCCATGCAGGTGTCCTCGTCCGTCAAGGCGGCGCTAACCCAAGTTTGTACATCACTCATAATCATCCCAAAATTTGATCCCTTAATTTCATTCATCTCCGCCATAGATCTACTCAATTGGTCCACCGAGTCCCTCAACTCCTCCACGCAATCCTTCATAGCACCAACCTCTCTCCGCGTCATGCCGCGAATGTGGGAAAGCTTTCCCATCATGGTGGAGGTAGATCGGGCGGTGTCGAGGGTGACGGAGAGGGCAGTGTGAGCCAAAAGCTTAGGGTCTTGCCGGATGGCAGCAACATAGGTTGAAAGAGAGGTGTAGCAAAGTTTTGGGTAAGTTGTTGCACTGCAAGATGTTCTTATGAACTCGGTGTTGGTTCCTCCGGCCGTTGGTCTGGCGGCCGAAGCTGAGTCCATATTGGAGGTAGTGAAAACGAATAGAAAAAGAAGAGCTGCTAGAATATGGCTGGAAAATCTTTCCATCTCTCTCTCTCTCTCTCTCTATTATTGTGTTTTTCTTGAGCTAATTGTGAAGAAATTGAGGAGGGAAAGGTGCCATATTTATAGGACGTCTTTGAGTTTTATTTTCCCTCTCTTTGGCTAAGCTCAATAATATCTTGATGATGCTCAATTATTTTGTTAGGCACCCCCACAGGCCACATGCATCAAATAATGGTAATTTCGAGCATAAATTAAAATTACAGAGTCCAATATAGAGTGATTATCTAACAAAATGAAAATAATAAAGTTAATAATTTACATGTATCTCGTCTTTAAATTTGTATGAATATGCGACATCGAAAATTCCATTGCTAATGCTTTATTTTCGTAGGTAAATTTTGAAGGTTGAAGTCACGTTGCTAATTTCTTGACGGTCTGGCAAACAATTGTTAGCAGTGAAATTTTCTATATGTAATTGTCCAAGGCAAAAATCAGACAACAGTTTGATTGTGGAAAACGTCCACACCTTTTATTTTTATTGTGCAAAACGTCCATACCTTTCATTTTTTGATATTTTCACTCATATCTCCACATTTCATTGCGCAAAATGTCATTTTCACACTCAATTAAAATTTGTGAAAAAACAAATATATCTTTATCTTTAAATTAAAAAAAAAAAAGAGAGAAAAAAAATTAATTGCAATCATAGTCTCAATTTTTTAAAAAAAATTACAAATGAGTCTCAAATAAATTATTAAAAGTATAATTAGTACATAATATTCTTATCTTTTACTGTTATTGCGAAAAGTCCCCACCTTTCATTTTTTTTCTTGGTATTTTCACCTTTAATTACACATTTGATTGTACAAACCATTCTTTCCATCCATTTCCATCCAATTTTTCAATAAAAACTATGAAGTACTGAATATACCCACATATTTAAATAAAAAATATTTTTTTTTAATTTCTAATTCTTTGATAATTTATTTGGGACAAGTTTGCACTTTTTAATTTTTAAATAAATTTAATTGGGACTCATTTGTATTTTTTAAAAAAATTGAGATTACGATTGCAATTAATTCTTTAACTTTTTTAATTTAAATAAAAGGATATATTCGTCATTTCACAATTTCTTATCGAGAAATTGGATGAAAATAAATAGAAATGAATGTTTGCAAAGTCAAATGTATAATTAAGGGTGAAAATGTCAAAAAAAAAAATGTATGCACCTTTTTGCAATAATAGTGAAATGTATGGACATTATGTGTTAATTACCCTTTTAATAATTTATTTGGAACTCATTTGCGCTTTTCAAAAAAATTTGAGACTGGTTGCAATTTTTTTTCTTTTTCCTTTTATTTTATTTAAAGAGAAGTGTATATTCGACATTCCACAATTTTTAATTGAGTAAATGAATGAAAATGACATTTTGTGCAATGAAAGGTGGAAATAAGAGTGAAAATATCAAAAAATAAAAAATAATTAAGTTTTTCACAATAACAATGAAATTTGAGTTGTTATGTGTTAATTACCCTTTTATTTTGTTGTCACCAATAACATGACGCTCTTTTTTATAGAAAAAAAAAAGATACAAATCCAAAAGTTATACTCGCCGCCATTGAGGTTCCAACTGCCTCAATAATTTCTTGAAAAATGCTAGATGTACATCAAGATCCACATCCCCTCACATGGGAGGGTCCACTTGAATAAAGAGGAAATTACACCTAGACCTGAAATTAGATTATCAATTTCATAAATTCTAAATCAAGTTTCATATTGCATAAATCAGGTTTTAATTATTAAATTAAAAACATTTTATTTTTATATCTATATACAATAAAATTAATTTATATACAACCCCTACCCTATCTAACCCAACCAACCCTAAAATCATTTGAACCCATCCCTCATCTCCCGTCTCTCATCTCCTCTCCTTTCTCCGCCGTCGCCGCCGCTTCTTCCCCTTTTCGCACAGTGGAACTCGTCTCCGGGAGCAGTGAGCAGCGCTCCCTGCGATCAAGTGAAGAGATTGCTGGAAGTGGAGCAGTGAGCGGCGCTCCCTTCTTCCCCTCTTCGCACAGTGGAGCTCGTCGCCGGGAGCAGTGAGCGACTTCCAGCAATATCTTCACTTGACGCACAAATGAACGGTGCTCGTCGCTTGGAGCAGTGAGCGGCGCTCCGTGCAGCTCCACGATTTGATGTGGTTTTTGGGTGTGTTATCAATTGGTGGTGGATGGGGGCTGTGGTGGTGGCGGTGCTGGTGTTTGGGTGGCNATAATTAAAAATTTAAAGAAACCTGATATTTGAATTTTGAAACATATGTTGGTATTTTTGAAATAGGTAAAAGTAAATGCCTTATTTATATATTCTTCCCTTGAATAAAATATTCGAATGGGCCCCTTATCAAAGTGGGGGGAAGGTGTATACCGTGATGTACACCCCGATGTACGATTAGCATTACTCTAATTTCTTCCAACTTGATCGAACACATTATTTTGAAATGATGGAAGATATTTTTATGTTTCCTCAAGTATTCGTGGACCTAAATTCTTTAATGATTTGTTTAATAAAAATGATAAATATTATTAAACATGGAAACTAAATTAAGATTTAAGTGTCTAACTTATGCCGAAGCATGTCCTTAATCTACAACAGGTTGTCTTCGGAATTAGCCAATAAAATTTTCTGAGGTACATGTGATTTTTTTATATATCTTGATTATCGAAAAATTAATTTTTTTTCATAAATAAAAGTAGTTAAGTGAAAAAATTCAGGTTAATACTTTGGAAATTATTCTATTTTGTTACATCGGGTACATAATTTATAATTGGATAGTAATATTCACACTACAACTTTTATTGTTGCATCATAATTAAACGACAATGAAGGTCCTCCAACTTTAGCTCATTATCGTATCCATGTCACCAACTTTTCTGCATCGCATTCTTATCTTTGCAAATCCTTCGAATGAATATGGTTGTAAATTAATAACAAGTGGGAGAATGTAGACCCTTATTTTAGATAGAAATGAAAATTAAAACATGTGAATGAATATAGCTAAAAATATCTCGTTTTTGTACTATGAAACAATCCACGTTAATGTGGGCACTGATTGACAAGCAAGCATACTAGAGGATAGGATAGGATAGCCAATTGGGTTTTTTGCACTAATGTACAGTGCATGCATGCATGTTGAGGGGACAAATTTATCAACTTGGAATCCAACTGGTACTAAGGACGTTGTTCGATTGCTATTGCAAACAAAGTCCCTTTCACATAATTAACTCTCCGTCAATTGGCTAAGATAATGATCAACATGTGCATGGGCTATTGGTGCAGTTTGCGTTCGTCTTGTTCTTCTGGTCCTTATCGACTTAACCATCTAAGTACCTAAATGATCACTCCCATAATCCCGTCCCCTTTGTAGGCGTGCTTTGTTACTTATTATTAGACCTTCAAATCAACACATTGTGTGAGGATACAACATGTAACGGAATTTTGAACAATTCCATTTATAAAATGTAGTTTCTTGCCCAAAGGTGTTAGACAATGCAACATATATGTAACACCTACTTTTATACAATTTTCACGTATTTGACGTGGAGTATTGTGATATGAAACACACACACATATATAAAGTCCTCAACCTTTAAATTTGAAACATTTTGATCACTAATGGGACGAATTTCTTACATGTTGCTAAAATAGCCATTCAAGAAATCTAGGACGAAAAAAATAAAACTTGTAACTTACCATGAAATAATTAATAAAGTGATCGATACTTCAAAAATACTAGCATTTTTTATACGGATACGTTTCTAAAAGCAATTTTAAAATTCTCGTTATGAAACTCAAAAAAGTTTTATTTTTTAAAAATAAAATTTAAAAACTTTAGAGAAATTTGACCATAACAATTAAAGACTGCAGTTAAAAATTGATAATTAACCTTTTTGTAAAATTTGTCTCGGGCTTTAATTGATAATTAACCTCTTTGTAGGTTTCAACTAAAAATAATTCAAGACTTCAGCTCTTATACTACAAAATATTATCAAATTTAAAGCCAATATTGAGTTTACACCAAAAAAAAATAAATTAAAATTAAAATTTTTATACAACATTTCCACACTTTTGTGTCCTACTCTTTCAAAATTGAAATTTTTATGTGCCACATCGTGAAATACCATACCATAAGTAGGGAAAACGACTCTTAATTTGAACTTGTAACCGTTGTTATAACCATTGAATTACTTAAAAGGAAACTTAAATTACTTTTGCTACTACAAAATGTACGATTTATAAACAATTTCTGTCTATAACTTATAATTCACTATCTTCCTATAGCTTAAGCGCGCACACTAAATAAACCTTCTTACAAAGCTTACTGGATCACACTATTCTCGCAATAATACACACTGAGATTTTGCTGAATTTTGGCTAATTATGGAGGGCAGCATAACTATTGATCAAAGCCAAGGCGTTGCTGGTGAGATGAGCAACAATCACAATCCGTTTCCTGACGGTTGTCTTCACGTTTCCGTTCATGACTTTTCCAGCGAACCCCTCCATGCAGGTGTCCTCGTTCGTCAAGGCGGCGCTAACCCAAGTTTGTACATCACTCATAATCATCCAAAAATTTGATCTCTTAATTTCGTTCATCTCCGCTATAGATCTACTCAATTGGTCCACCGAGTCCCTCAACTCCTCCACGCAATCCTTCATAGCCCCAACCTCTCTCCGCGTCATGCCGCGAGTGTGGGAAAGCTTTCCCATCATGGTAGAGGTAGACCGGGTGGAGTCGAGGGTCACAGAAAGGGCGGTGTGAGCCAGAAGCTTTGGATCTTGCCGGACTGCAGTGGCGTGGGTTAAAAGAGAGGTGTAGCAAAGTTTAGGGTAAGTTGTCGCCCTGCAAGATGTTCTGATGAATTCAGTGTTGGTTTCTCCGGCTGCACGTCTGGCAGCGGACGCAGAGTTCATGGTGTTACTTAAAGCGAGTAGAATAAGAAAAGCTGCTAGAAGATGGCTGGAAAAATTTTCCATCTCTTTCTCAATATCTCTATTTGTTTTTCAATTAAGAATATTTGTTATGAGAAAAAAAGTGAGGGAAAGGTTCAATATTTATAGGAAGGTCTTCGGGTTTTCCTTGAGGTGAGTTTGCTTTCTCTCTCTCCGGTTATTTTGAAAATAATAGGTACCGAACATTATTAACATATTTTCATTCTCAATTACTGATCATTAGCCAATTCTTGCTTGAAATTTTAATCAATATTCATTGTGTACTAATTTTGTCCCTTCGCGTAAATTAATTCAACGTTTACCTACGGTCCACTAAAATATCAATTAAGGTTGCACTAAGCATAAAAAGCATATCTTTATCTCCGATACGATCTAGTGTTTTTTGTTAGAACTCTGCTACGTGTACACCACACTCCTCTCACATAGGGGGACCCACAAATTTTTTATACATGATGGGGCCCCTCACGTGTGAGGGGACTGTACACCATGCTGTATGGTATGATGTACAACCATCATTTTCCTTTTTGTTATTTGAGTTAGAAATATGTGGTAAATCTCTTATCAATACGAATCTAAAAAAAAAAAATCCTAAATATGCATAATCCGGTTACTTTAGAAGAAAAATTGGACATAACGTTGAATCACATCATACATTATAGATAACTCATTATTCCTTTTAAATCATCCGAGCGAGTCCATAATTTGAAACGATTGAAGATATTTATCCAGAAGGGATAAGACTCACTATACTTTGAAACAATGGAAGATATTTTTATTTTTCGGTTTGACACAAATTCTTTATATTTTATTAATTAGTCATTCATCTAGGTTGGTTGGTTAGTCGATTTGTATTTAAATCTGATTGATTTATGTCAATAGTTACTGGATATTGAACTAGAAAATTTAGTACATTGGACATGAAAATATAGTGCCAACCGAAAAAAAAATTGTTCAAATTAAAAGTATAAGAATAGAATAAATAAATATTTATTAAAGCATTATTATTTTCATATTTTAATATTAAAATATTTAGCCTCTGTTTGGTAGTGATTTTAATCAAACTCAAAATCAACAAATCTATTTTAACCACATATTTATGAATAGGCAACTTTTCAATTATACATTTTATCAACTTTTATCAAAATTTACTAAAAATTTAATTTTAATATCCATCAAACAGGGGCTTAGGGTCTGTTTGGGCGCGATTTTCTCCAAGATTTTGAGTGATTTTTTTACCATTAGAAGCAAATCAAGTCGAAATCTTTGACCAAGTATGAGAGAGTGGAACCCATGAGTTTGAAATAAGGGTAAAAAGTAGGGTACAGAAACTTGTTTGAGATATAGACTCATACGATGAATTATGTAAGTTGTGGGGACTCATCTGCAAGTTATAGGGTCTTTCATGTCGGCTGGCCATGCACAGCCAACGGACTCTAGACCGAGATGTGACATGGAACAGGTAGTCATAGGTTTATAAGTTTCCATTAGCAAAGTGGGCAAAATTAATGTTCAAGATATTCATTAGGCACAGCCATTAAAAATGTATAATCGGATGTTTATATCTTTCGATAATGAGAGTTGCATGTGTTTAAAGAGGGAAACTTGCTACAATTACAGGGCAAAAACTTCACAGAATTTTTTCAGGCAAGACGCAAACATGTGGGATCCACTTTTTTTTAATAATATTTAATTCATGTGGAGCCCACACATCATGTGAGTATCTGTAAGAATTCTGATAGTGAATAGTTCTGTACATGGAGGATAATTCTTAAAGAGGTGACCGACTTGATAAATTGAGAGAAATTTGACGATCAAGAGCTTTCTCTTTCGATGATGAAGTACGAACTACGAAGTCAAATAATGATCTATTGAATTTTTTACTACTCGCAATTTCAGATAAGAGAAGTTAAAATGACTGTCAAATACTAAACGTTCCGACAAATTTTGAAGTTAGTTAAAGAGGTGAATATTAATTTAAGTTCATAGTTATAAACTCATAGAAAATAACATAAATTGAAATAACCAGAGACAGAGAGTCCATACCCGATCTGAGGTGGTATAATGGGGGATGGGGGTTGAAATATGATATTTTTAAAAAAATTAGTACTCTCAAAGTGTTGAATTTAACCCTCTCTGTCCCTTGTCACTTGAAAATTGACATGTGTATTACTAATTTGTCACGGAGCCAGGTAAAGGCTCTTATCCTATTAATTCTCGAGTGGCAGACGGGCAGAGTACTAGAAATTTTTTTGGGTATTTAGCATATATCGTCTTTATCTTTCATTGTCATTCTGAAAAACGTCTTTACCTTTGATTTTCTGACATTTTCATCCTTATTTCTACATTCATTACGCAAAAGACCATTTTCATCTATACTCTTATCATTTTAGTAGATTTTGATAAAAATCGATCAAATATGAGGTTAAAAATTTGATAAAAATTATGAATCTCATAAAATATGTGATTGAAAATGAATTTTAAAAAATGAAGAGCAAACAAGGGCCAAAAATAAATTTTAAAAAATGTACATCATCTCAACTCCCGACAAAAATCTATTATGCGATATTTCTAATTTTTATCCAAATCAAATAGGGACTTCAACGCTTTACGCATGAAGGACCTTGGCAACTTAACATGTCCTTTTCCAAGAGTTCTTGTTTAAGTTGGTCAAATTTAATTTTTATTTATATTTTTATAATGCTTTAAAAGCCAATTTGAGCATCAATATGAAAAAAGAAGAAGGGTAAAATGTCGAACTGAGGTCGAATGTGAATCCATCTGATTATTTTTAATGAAAAAGTCAAACGATGGTTTTCTGGCTGGGTTTTAGGCAATTTTCATAAATTTAAATTTGTGAAATCGGAAACGGATTAATAGTTTTGAATAGATTGACGATTTTTCAAATATGTGCTCGCAAGTCTACGTTCAACTTGCACGATGTTTTCGCTATTCAATTCATATATGTTATTCACCTTGAACATGAAACGAGCTAGCTCGATTCGTTTGTGACTTGTGAGAACCCATTGACGGCTCGCTCCGTACGACTGCCTATGTCAGTTCTTAATTTTTTCTTTTTCCCAAATTTTTCTCGTGTTATAGCGCCAAAAAAAATAAATAAATAAAATAAAATAAATCCAAACTTCTTGTCGAGGGTATTTTTCTTGCTGCCTCAAGTAGGTTTTGTTAGTAGTCAGTGTCCTGTGTCCCCCTTTACTTTTATGCGTGTCGAAATTCATTGCAGTACTTTGCTGTTGATATTTGTCTGTGTGACTTGTTTATCGTCGGCAAAATTTTTCTTCTTAAGCTTTTAGACAGCACTGTTCATATCGGAGGATCCAAAGGTACTAAAATGTTTCACTGCCACGGGCTAACACCAAATTTCAATAAATAAAATTGTCAGTTTTCTAAAAGTTAAAGGCTTGTTCTCTTTATCATTTTCAAATCGTTTTTTGTTTTCAATTTTTTAAAACAGTGAAAACGCGTTTTTTTTTCCTACATATGCGTGCATTTTAGAAGATTGGTTCTAGCATAATTAGCACGGTCTTGTTTGTTCTGTGCAACGCTTTTTATCCCATTGACGAAACATAGATGTAAAATGGAAATACTAAAATTCTGATTTAGAAAAATGTAGGAACAACATTGTTCTCTTACCCCTACCTCAGTATGAATGATTAAGTTTCTTGTGAAATCCCATCAATCAATAGTATTTTTGCAATCTCCTTAATAGATGTATGTACCACGTGACCTCATTGTACCTTTTTTTTTTTTTTAATTTCTGGTTTTCGTTATTGTGATTGCACCTGTAATCCCTAAATTGGACATCGTGCAATTGGTTTATTTGGAGAATAATTGAGGTAGGATTTACATACGTGAATAATATTTAAGAGAGATGCTACAGGTACACGGGCGTCACGCCCCACGCCCTCCTCACAATTGGGGGCGAGGGGGGCGCCCATTATTTTATTCACCTCGGGCCCCCCATCATTGTGAGGGGGGCGGTGGGGTCGTGTACCCCGGCGTGTACATTTAGCAAAATTCAATATATAATTTTGGAGCCATGAGGGGGGCGGCGGGGTCGTGTACCCTGGAGTGTACATTTAGCAAAATTCAACATATAACTCTGGAGCCCATCAACATCTTTATCCCATCGTTCTTTATTTAAGTATTTACGCACTTTTCTATTTTCCAAACATTGGGGCTTGACACTTGCTTATGAGAATTAGGAGTGCGTAGTTCATTCTATAATATAGTATGAGGATCATAAGCTCGACTCAGCTAGAGAATCAATTAATTTTGGTATCTGTGTTTGCTCTAAACTCGGGGATCCTACATGTGGAATATTCTTTTTTAAATTGTAAACGAGATGAGATGGAACTTTTAACCATTGTTAAAAGGATAAGTCTTGAGATTTAGGGTTTACTATCAGTAGTATTCCACTATAAAGCCAGGTATACACTTTTAAAATTTAGAAATCAAGCCTCGCGGTGAATGACAGATAGCTTGACAATGCAATGCTTGCTATTTTCTAATGAAAGATCCTTAGTAGATGGTGGCACGAAATATGGTTGGCTTACGTTTTGATAACATGTATAGCAGTTATGATGAAGCAGTCACATCATACTCTAAACCCCCCTTGCGGTACAAGCGTGACAGTACCGCCGACGAACAGACGGATAGGAGGTCTACGACTGGATACTTAACATTTTATTTTAGGTGGAAATCTTGTGAAGGGGAAGAGTAAGAAGCAAACAGTTGAGGATATATGAAGGGAAAGAGAACTTAGATGATTTGGAAATATTTTCCCAGATCGAAAGAAACCCTCATGCATGATAGTGTAGCGGTAGTAATACATCAAATTGGAAGGAGATGTAGATTAAAATTAACGTGGCTTGATTTAGTTGCAACATGTTTGATTTTATTGGACCTTTAGTTGGATGCAATGTCTGGATTAGATGGAATGGTGAAAAAGAATTCATGTAGCCAGCCCCAATTTTATTAGGAGTAAAGCTTAGCTTGTTTTATAA